AGAGCAAAGGTGTAGCCAAGAACTAGGCTCAGCGTGGGGCCAGGGAAGGACAAGTTTCCTCAAAAGACTTTGGCCTGGAAATCTCTTTCCAGCCTGATTTGAAGAGATAACAACAAAAGGCAAAAGAGAAAAGCTCAGACTGTGCATCCCTCAGCTTGCCTGCTGAGTGCAACAAGGAGTGCCCCTGTGCACCAAGCAGCACAGCCTGAGCACCCACCAACTCATCTCACACAAGCCACTGCACTGCTCAGTGTGACATCCCTTGCTTGTGCACATATCCTTTTGCCCGAGTCAGAAGCTGATGCAGAGGTCAGAGCCTCCATACCCTATTCCAGCACGAGCCATCAAGCTTAAGAGACCCTACCCAGACACCTGGTTGTAATACAATAAACAACAGCATCCCAGAGCCCAGCAGAGACCAGGTCTCCATCCTGCTGAGAGCTCTACCCATCCCTGGAGAGAGCAGCACCTGCATCAAAGAGCTGACACCTTGGCAAAATGGTGGGAGAAAAGATCAGGACCCTCACTTTGCAGTTGACGAACAGAGATAGGCTTAAGTAGGCTTGCACAGGGAACGTGTGGAAGAGAGGCAAACTGAGACAAGGTCTCTGTTTTTCCATCCACCCCGATATGGATTTAATGTAAAAAGCACTGACAGAGAAGCTGGGTACTGGGAGGATCTTTTGCCTGGGTGGGAAATTTTGGTGTCCGGTTTCAGAGCTGCCCTTGCTTTCTCTCCTCCGCTGCCAGGGAACCTTAGGTATCTTGCAGCATCAGTGGAGGAAGGTGTCTCATGCTGGCATCCTTCCACAGGCACAAGATGGATGAAGTTGAGGATGTGGGGGGAGAAGAATGATATTTAAAGGAGTGTCCCCTCGAAAGGGACACTTTGCAAGATCATAGGAGCAGATGTGCAGTAGCTCCTTACCACTTTCATTTTCTTGGGGTTTAAAGGAAATGGTCTTTCCTGCCCTCAGAGAGAAGATACCTGCTTTATTGCTTCTGAATGCACCTGGATATGTTGCCCAAGCTGTGAGGGATAGATAACCCTACTGCTACAGCCACCAGAGTCAGCAGCAGGCCCAAAGCCTTCTGGCTCCTTGTGCTCTCCCCGTGAAACCGCACTCCTCTACCTGGCTGCTGCTCTTCCACGTCCCAGACCGACACAGCCGGGCGAATCTGTCGGGCCAGCTGACCACTGCTGTCCCAGGAGTGATACCAGCTGCTCCCAGGGCAGCGATAACGCTTCAGCGCTGCCCTATACTGCACCCACACATAGGCACCCCGTGCGCTAGGCTGCCCATCACGCACCCTGCCCTGGGCTCCTGGCAGCCTGGCCAGCTCCCTGCGTTACAGGGTGGGGAGGGAAGACGTTCGGAGCGCCCGCAGCTATTCAGTTACCGACAGTGTGTTTGAAGAGCTTCCCTATCGCCCTTTTGTTAAAGCTTTGGCTTCCCCCCCATAGCCTCAACAGATGAAATCAAAGGGAAGTAGCTTTGCTTGGTGTAACCTGTTTTGATCAAGCAGATAAACGGGGAACAAGTGTCTGACACAAACAAACAGACAGACAGAGGCAAGTCCCACCTCAGCATTTTGTTGCATCAGATACAGAGGGCTTAGATAAACCACAAGAAGGGGGAGATCTCTGCCTCCCGGCTTGAAGACCAGGGGCGACACTCAGCAGTGCCAAGCCCCCACAGTTCCCATAAAAAAAATCAACCCAGAACTTGCTGGCATGGCTTTCATCAGTTTAAAAAAGATGAAAAGAGCTTACAGCCTAGCATGAAACTCACGCTTGTCACTACCCCCCATGGAGTCAGCAGGACTGCTAGCGAGTCCAGCCACAGCTTTCGCATGCCAGGCATGAAACCATGCTGGCATCACGCAGAAAAGGGCGAAGAGGACCCTCAGCCTGGAGAGATGAGCCAGTGCTCAGACTGCACAGCTCCTGGGCGATGAGGAAGGCAGTCCGACCCGCTGCCCTCGCAGGAGTAACTCGAGCCTGTTCCCCTCTTCCCCCTCACACACACACTGTGATAAAAAAACAGAGTTAAAGTAAAGGAAGGCTTGAGATTCACAGGACTGGGCAGGGTAGGTAATATTCCTTAGATTTTTTCTTTTAATAATTTTTTTTGTAAAATGGCAAAATTTCACTACAACCAGTAGACATGGCAGGGGGTGGAATCAAACAAACATGGGTTTTTGGAGAACATCTTACTAAAAGCTTTGAGGCATTTTCTGTGAAATTGGTGTGGATGAAAAAAAAGCCTAGCTTTTCTAAGCTCCTATGGAAAGAGGAACAATTTTGACAATTTTCGCAAAAAATAAAATACCCCGCGATCATTTTAAACACTTTCAAAGTAAGGCAATGCCCCAAATTACCCGTTTTTTCCCCCCCTCTAAGCCTAAAACTGGCGTAGATATGAAAGGATGAGATTACGCTTCTGCTACTGATACTTCCCTTCAGATCTTTAGGCATCAGTTTTAGATCAAGGGCTTGGTTTACAAAAGCATTTTGGCACCCAACTCCCTCCAGTTTTGTGTTGTGTTTTTTTTTTTTATTTATTTCTTCTTGGAGCCAGTCTGCATCTTTTGGTGATGAAAGGCCTTTGTAAATCTGCATCTAGAAGGATTTCCATTCTTTATAAGCTATAACATTGTTAGTTTGATAACAGCCCTCTCCTTTGGGGTAACAAGATTCCTGGGGAGCTGTGTAGATTGGTCCAGTTCATTAGGAAATGGACCTTCAGTTAAGGAGTCATTGGAAAACAGATTTTCCCACACGAAGCTAGTAAACAAAACACTAAACTGTTAGGTGTTTCAGTAAATATTCCTCTAACAATGTGTATAAGGGAAAATAAAAACTTCCAGGGAAGTTCAGTACAAAGAGCTTTGTTGTTCATAAACAGAACGGTCGGAAAGAGGAAAAAAACGAAAAACAATAACCCAGCAGAGCTGCGTCGCGGCTTCAGGCAGAGCACGGGGGCACCCCCTCGGCGGCTGGGCTGGCAGCGGG